AGAGAGAGAGAGAGAGAGAGAGAGAGAGAGAGAGAGAGAGAGAGAGAGAGAGAGAGAGAGAGAAAAGAGAGAGAGAGAGAGAGAGAGAGAGAAAGAGAGAGAGAGAGAGAGAGAGAGAAAGAGAGAGAGAGAGAGCAACTGCTCGCGAACGACGCGCCATATAAACAGTCCGCCTTGGATGATCGGGAAACAAGATATTCGAGCATCAAGGCGCATCTATCATTCCTGCAACGTTGCACGAATATTTCCCCCAACATCTCGACACACCATTTGGTAGTCTTCTCGTCACATGTCCACATCGCCTCCTCCTGCACCATCCCTCCAGTTCCTCGACAAGACTCATGCAAGGCGAGCAATGATCAACATCGAGCGCATATACACATATTGTACTCGACATTGCTTGCAACAGAATACCAGCGTGAGTGGGGGGGGGGTTATCAGGCAAGGCAAATGGGGCAATGCCATTCACATGTGTCATGGAGTGATATAATTCCAGCTTCAGTCCTTTCACAAGTTTCAAACAACCTCTCCACAACATTCATACACCCTCTCCACAACCTTTATACAACCTCCCCACAACATTCATACAACCTCTCCACAACCTTTATACAACCTCTCCACAACATTCATACAACCTCTCCACAACATTCATACACCCTCTCCACAACCTTTATACAACCTCCCCACAACATTCATACAACCTCTCCACAACATTCATACAACCTCTCCACAACATTCATACAACCTCTCCGCAACATTCATACAACCTCTCCGCAACATTCATTCAACCTCTCCGCAACATTCATTCAACCTCTCCGCAACATTCATACAACCTCTCCACAACATTCAAACAACCTCTCCACAACATTCATACAACCTCTCCACAACATTCATACAACCTCTCCACAACATTCATACAACCTCTCCACAACATTCATACAACCTCTCCACAACATTCATACAACCTCTCCACAACATTCATACAACCTCTCCACAACATTCATACAACCTCTCCACAACATTCATACAACCTCTCCACAACATTCATACAACCTCTCCACAACATTCATACAACCTCTCCACAACATTCATACAACCTCTCCACAACATTCATACAACCTCCCCACAACATTCATACAACCTCTCCACAACATTCATACAACCTCTCCACAACATTTATACAACCTCTCCACAAGCCTCAAACTAATCTTTCATACTCCACAAGCTTCTTTGGCATACATAAACCTGTTGTATTAGAGATCAATCATAATAAATATAGCAAAGAGCAGTTCATGTCTGTATTATATATATATATATATATATATATATATAATTATTCCTTACTTTCTATTAAAGACATGATTCCCATTTTCTTTCATTTCTATTTCACATCATGGTAGTCATTTTCTCATTATTTCCACGCGCAAAAGTCGTTTTCTTTACAGTCTTACGTTTTAGTCTATCACAACGTTTTCTGTTGGTCGACGTAGGCCAAACTGTCCTAATACTGATGGTTCAGTTGTCTGCCTGCGGCTTGTTGGGGTTGTTGACTAACAGCCAGTCCGCCAACCACACAATTGGGTCCTCTGGGCGTACCTGTCAAACGAGAAGAAAATTGACAGTAGCGTATAAACTGTCTCTGTTGGCACAGTGGTCTACGTCCTCGACTCGCGATTAAGGATCCCGAGCTCGATCCCCGGGGGAGAATTTGAAATAGTTGGATACATTTTCCCCCTTCACCTGATGCGTCTGTTCACTTAGCAGTAAATAGGTAACCGGAGAGTTGAGCATCGTGGAGAAAGGTCGAGGACGGGTGTATTAACCCTGTACTGCGAGGTGAACAGAGGCATCAGAGGGGAACGAAAGGTTCCCGGAGAGTTTCTATCCTCGTCAAATAGATTCAAGGAGGACGAAGACCACTGTGCTACAAACAGTTGACGATCAACTGAAGCCGATGAGAAAACCGTTTGGTTACGGGCCGATAGTCATAACAAAAATAGATAGAAAGTTGATGTCAAATTAGACTTGATAGATGGTAATTGATAACAAGTGATACAAATTGATGACTTGAAGTTGATATACATGAACTGATCGTATCTCCTGATGGATTGAAGTCAGGCAACGTTCAGTGAGTGGCCAGTCAGTGCCAGTTCTCTGAGTGGCCAGTCAGGGCCAGTTCTCTGAGTGGCCAGTCAGGGCCAGTTCTCTGAGTGGCCAGTCAGGACCAGTTCTCTGAGTGGCCAGTCAGGACCAGTTCTCTGAGTGGCCAGTCAGGACCAGTTCTCTGAGTGGCCAGTCAGGACCAGCACTCTGAGTGGCCAGTCAGGACCAGTTCTCTGAGTGGCCAGTCAGGGCCAGTTCTCCGAGTGGCCAGTTCTCTGAGTGGCCAGTCAGGGCCAGTTCTCCGAGTGGCCAGTTCTCTGAGTGGCCAGTCAGGACCAGTTCTCTGAGTGGCCAGTCAGGACCAGTTCTCTGAGTGGCCAGTCAGGACCAGTTCTCTGAGTGGCCAGTCAGGACCAGTTCTCTGAGTGGCCAGTCAGGGCCAGTTCTCCGAGTGGCCAGTTCTCTGAGTGGCCAGTCAGGGCCAGTTCTCCGAGTGGCCAGTTCTCTGAGTGGCCAGTCAGGACCAGTTCTCTGAGTGGCCAGTCAGGACCAGTTCTCTGAGTGGCCAGTCAGAACCAGTTCTCTGGGTGGCCAGTCAGGGCCAGTTCTCCGAGTGGCCAGTTCTCTGAGTGGCCAGTCAGGGCCAGTTCTCCGAGTGGCCAGTTCTCTGAGTGGCCAGTCAGGACCAGTTCTCTGAGTGGCCAGTCAGGGCCAGTTCTCTGAGTGGCCAGTCAGGGCCAGTTCTCTGAGTGGCCAGTCAGGACCAGTTCTCTGAGTGGCCAGTCAGGACCAGTTCTCTGAGTGGCCAGTCAGGACCAGTTCTCTGAGTGGCCAGTCAGGACCAGTTCTCTGAGTGGCCAGTCAGGACCAGTTCTCTGAGTGGCCAGTCAGGACCAGTTCTCTGGGTGGCCAGTCAGGACCAGTTCTCTGAGTGGCCAGTCAGAACCAGTTCTCTGAGTGGCCAGTCAGGACCAGTTCTCTGGGTGGCCAGTCAGGGCCAGTTCTCCGAGTGGCCAGTTCTCTGAGTGGCCAGTCAGGACCAGTTCTCTGAGTGGCCAGCTGTGCAAGTGACCAAATATATAGAGTGCTCACCTTGCACAGTTCAGTCAGAGCACGGACCAGGGTCGGGGACACAGCGTGGCTGAGGTACTCCTTGGCGCCCTCCCCTGTCAACACGGGCTCCTGGTTCACTGTAACGAGAGAGAGGTCAGGTTAGGTCACGCTCCAGCCTCACTGCACCGAGAGAGGTCACGCTCCAGCCTCACTGCACCGAGAGAGAGGTCACGCTCCAGGGTCACTGCACCGAGAGAGGTCACGCTCCAGGGTCACTGCACCGAGAGAGGTCACGCTCCAGGGTCACTGCACCGAGAGAGAGGTCACGCTCCAGGGTCACTGCACCGAGAGAGGTCACGCTCCAGGGTCACTGCACCGAGAGAGGTCACGCTCCAGGGTCACTGCACCGAGAGAGGTCACGCTCCAGGGTCACTGCACCGAGAGAGGTCACGCTCCAGGGTCACGACTGGTAATGTAAGGTCAATGAAACGATAAAAAAAAAGATTCCATTAGGTCATTCAACAGCGTCTTTGGAGCGACGGAGCAGTGCGGAGCTCCTCACTCTCCACCTTGAAGAGGTCGTCCTTCTAGTACGACAGACTTCAGTTCCCTTAATAAGTCTGAGCTTAACACCTCTGCTCGCCCAGCTCATCTAGGATCTTAATCTCTTGTGCTTTATCCAAAGCTCAGGTGATGTCAGCACTATTAAGAGTACTTAGCTGTCATTTGGTAAATAATTAATTATACTATTGGCTATTTGAGGTGGTATGGTCGTAGAGGTAATTAGGTAACATCAACAGAAATTATGCCACGAATCAAGGGTAGTTAAGGTTGCTGGGAGAGGGGGGGCGGGGCCAGGGTGCTAAGGCTCGACCGTGTGTGTGTGTGTGTGTGTGTGTGTGTGTGTGTGTGTGTGTGTGTGTGTGTGTGTGTGTGTGTGTGTGTGTGTGTGTGTGTGTGTGTGTGTGTGTGTGTGTGTGTGTGTGTGTGTGTGTATGTGTGTGTGTGTGTCTGAGAAAAAGACGTAGAAGATATGATAGAGGAAAGCAGGTGGGGGAGTCAGTGTATTAGACAAGCGGTGTTACGAAAGGCGGGGTTCAAGACCTAAGGGTCGACACGACAGGCACAAATAGGCGAGTACACACACACACGCACACATTATTCATGTATGTAAATATGGACACGTGACACGCCAGGGAGTGCCAGGCAGCGGTGCCACACCTGCCACACCACACGGGGTGCATGACACTAATACACCTCCATACACACATACTTAGCCCCTTGGTGTGTGTGTGTGTGTGTGTGTGTGTGCTCACCTAGTTGTACTCGCCTAGTTGTGTTTGCGGGGGTTGAGCTCTGGCTCTTTGGTCCCGCCTCTCAACCGTCAATCAACAGGTGTACAGATTCCTGAGTCTATTGGGCTCTATCATATCTACACTTGAAACTGTGTATGGAGTCAGCCTCCACCACATCACTGCCTAATGCATTCCATTTGTCAACCACTCTGACACTAAAAAAGTTCCTTCTAACATCTCTGTGGCTGATTTGGGCACTCAGTTTCCACCTGTGTCCCCAAGTGCGTGTGCCCCGTGTGTTAAATAGCCTGTCTTTATCTACCCTTTCAATTCCCTTGAGAATCTTGAATGTGGTGATCATGTCCCCCCTAACTCTTCTGTCTTCCAACGTGTGTGTGTGTGTGTGTGTGTGTGTGTGTGTGTGTGTGTGTGTGTGTGTGTGTGTGTGTGTGTGTGTGTACACACCCGTCAAGCAGTACATGAGCGCGAACGTTGTGTAATCTCAAACTTAATTATTTATTCATTTATTCTGCGCCTGGCAACCGAGTTGGTTTGTTTACCCGGCAGTCCCTTCGCCTTTACGGTACGACAACAGCATCATAATATGTTTAAATTCATTCATCCATGTATTCATAAATATATATATACATATACAAAACGTTTACGCCTAACCCGCTAAATTAGATACACAAATACCGTACCAAGATTTTTTTATTAATTCCATTAGAGGTAATGAGAAGTATATTGAAACAGCTCAATGTGTTGGTAAATGATTCATTCCGTACAAGGTCTGATGGATGGCATACCTGGCCTTGTCGGTCAATGTGTTCCTCAGGGCTACACACACACACACACCTGATCCAAGGTCACACACACACACCTGGGCCATGGCAACACACACCTGGCCCACAAACATCCACACACGTGATTCACCAAAGCACCAGAGACTAACATTACCCTAAGTCTAGCACCAGACACATTTAGGAACCTGGGGACTCAGGGATCCACAGCACTGTAATCGACGTACGCGAGACATATTCTGGAGTATGCAGCCCGCGCCTGGAACCCACCTCACCAATAATGCGTATAGGAATGACTCTTAGAAATGTTGGCAGTTATTAAATACTGAGGTGTTATTACACATTGGATCAAGTCATTTTAAGGGCTAACTGAATTAATGATTTTTGATTTACGTAAAATGAGAGAGAGAGCGAGAGAGAGAGAGAGAGAGAGAGAGAGAGAGAGAGAGAGAGAGAGAGAGAGAGAGAGAGAGAGAGAGAGAGAGAGAGGGAGAGAGAGAGGGAGACAGAGAGAGGGAGACAGAGAGAGGGAGACAGAGACAGAGAGACAGAGACAGAGAGACCATAGAGAGAGAGAGAGAGAGAGAGAGAGAGAGAGAGAGAGAGACAGAGACAGAGAGACAGAGAGACAGAGACAGAGAAAGAGACAGAAAGAGGGAGAGAAAGATAAAAAAAAGAGACAAAGAGAGACAGAGACAAAAAGAGAGAGAGGTCCTCCCATTGATGCCAGGTAAGAAAGGAGGAAGAAGATAAAGAAAAGAGGAAGGGGGGGAAAGGAGATGAAAGCGGGTATGAAACGGGAAAGGGAGAGAGAGAGGAGGGGAGGAGAAGAAGAAGGGACGACTAGGAGAGGGAGAGGGGAGAGGAGAGAACCAGGAAATATGAAGTGTGAGAGAGAAATTGGGAGGGAGTAGAATAAAGAGAGAAGATAGGAGAGATGAGTGAAAGAAGGATATAATCTTTTTCCGTACCCCCCGCCCACCCCCCAATTGCCACCCCCTCCCTGACCCCCCTCCCTGCCACCCCCCCCCCCCATACTCACAATCAGGAAAGAAGAACCTGATCTCCCTCTGCGCCGAGGAGGAGGAGTCTGAGCCGTGGGCTGCGTTGTGGGAGTCGTCATTGAGGTCCCCGAACCTGGCCCTGATGCTGTCAGGGGCCTCGTGGCGGGCCCTGGAGACCTGTGTGGGGCCCAGGACCCTCCGCCAGTGGGTCACGGCATCATCTCCTGCCACAACCAACAACAGGAACAACTGTTAGTTCCAAGCATTAAAAATAACATTTAAAAAAAACGTGAATTAAAACTGAGGCTAAAATTCAATTTTTTATGCACCCCATACCCGTGATGTGGGTTTGGGGGGGGGGAGGGTGGTAGAGGCACGTAATGGGTTCAGGAACTGAACCCCATAGTTCGTTTAGGTAAGCAAGTGGGAATCTTGTTGTAGCTAGTTACACAATTATTAATGTTATATATATATATATACATGTATAAATATATACAATCATTTACACAAATACATATAGATATCAATATTTTTTTTTTATATCACAAGTAATCAACAAGAGGCTCACAACAGTCACTATACAAGGCACTTTACATCTATGGTGAGTCACACAGTTACTAGTCTTGCTCCACACCCACCCAACTGGGCGGCAGCTTTACAGTCATGTGCTCCACACCCACCCAACTGGGCGGCAGCTTTACAGTCATGTGCTCCACACCCACCCAACTGGGCGGCAGCTTTACAGTCATGTGCTCCACACCCACCCAACTGGGCGGCAGCTTTACAGTCATGTGCTCCACACCCACCCAACTGGGCGGCAGCTTTACAGTCATGTGCTCCACACCCACCCAACTGGGCGGCAGCTTTACAGTCATGTTCAGGCTGCACCTACAGTCAGCAAATTTTGGATACTTCACTAAGATTCCTGGGCAGCACATCATTATGAATGAAGTACTTACACATTTCTTGGACACAATTGATGGTGTTATCTCTGAATTCCGCGATTTTGTTCACATTCCAGTATATAATGACACACAGTATGCGAATAGTTCTGCTGACAGAGTTTACATTTAGTAAAATCTACATCAGCAGATGTTACAAACTCCCATAGGTACTTGTAGCCGAGCCTAAGCCTAGCAGTGGTAACATCTAGAAGTCTGCTGACCTTATTGGGTGACCCATAGACGTGCGGGTCTTCCTGCATAATAGAATGATGATAGATGGAGCAACTGGTGTGAATTTCAATTTGCCTCAAGTCCATAAGATTTTGTTGATGTTCCTGGAATATTCCCGTAAGGCAGTCCAAGATGGTAATCAATTCCCTCTTTATGAGCAAAAGTTTTAGCTGACTCATCAAACTGAGCCTCCGTCCTCTTGAAAGCCAACGAGAAACTATTATTTTTGTTAATATTTCACTCTGCTATTCTCCTCCAACTGACCAACCACCCACATGCCAATAGGTAACTATCATATTATTTTTGAGAGAGAGGGGAGAGAGAGAGAGAGAGAGAGAGAGAGAGAGAGAGAGAGAGAGAGAGAGAGAGAGAGAGAGAGAGAGAGAGAGAGATAGAGAGAGAGAGAGAGAGACAGAGAGAGTGACAGAGAGAGACAGAAACCAGAAAGACAAGAGACAGACAGAGAATAAGACAGAGGAGGGTCTGTAGAGCGACCAAACCGAATAGGACAGAGACAGGATGCCAGACAGAAAAATACAGACAGACCACAATAGAGACATGGACACAAGGAATAGGAGAGGGATGGTTGAACAGAGGGGAAGGATGGAGGGAGACGTCAGTTGCAAGGGAGAAGAGAGAGGACATAAGGAAAGATATATGATAAGAGGAGACTGGGAGAGAGAGAGAGAGAGAGAGAGAGAGAGAGAGAGGGCGGGAGGGTGTTTAGGGAAGGGGGGAAAAGAGAGACCCGGACGCAGCCGGATACCCCCCCCTCCCTTTACAAAAAGTTCATCTTATAGTATACATATATAGTTATTTTCAGTTTTGAAAGACCCCCATGAAGCCTATACCTATACAGTGTGACCTCGCTGACCAAGGTGTGACCTGACCCACCATCTGATCTTTGACCCCTACCTGCCAGAATTAACGCGAGGACCTCTCCTGAGGTCATGTACTCAACCAGGCCGTTAAAGAAGGACTTGCCCCGGTGCTCAGCGTAGAACTCCTCGGCCTCTGACCTCGTTAGTCGAACTCGCCGCCTCTGAAAGAGAGGTCAGGTCAACAAGGGTCACAGGGGGGGGCGGAGGTATAATCACAGGGGGCCAGGTGATTATACCTCCCGTCCCTTATATATAAGAGATAATAGGCCCTAGTAGCCAATATATATAAATATATATAATACCCAAAGTATTTTCAAGCTTAAACATTAGATATATCAATTTTTTGGTATATTTTACACGTAATATTAAAAAAAAATCATATACTTTATTTTCCAAACTTTAAGTATAAAACTGAGAATATTTAAGATATCACAGAAAACGTTCAAAATATTTATTTATTGTATCGACAACGACAAATTCAATTATGATTATTTCCTCAACATTTACAATAGCAGATTTCGTGTGCCCAAAATGCCATTTTGGGCACACGAAATGGAGCAGATAGTGAAGCCTGGAGCAGGAGCAGAATAAATAGTGAAGCCTGGTTCATAAGGTTCAGTTAACGGACTGTGAAATCAAGGGCCAAACAAGCACACAAGTAAGTAACAGGCAAAAAGAAACAAGCAACAAAAAACAAACAAACAATCAAGTCTTACGTCCACCACGGTGAAGCCTTCTTCTAAAATAATCTTCTCGATATCCGGCGACTCATCGATAGCATCCGGTTTAATTAAGGCCAATGTCCGCTGCATCTTATCTGACATTGTTCGGCTTCTTGAGATATAACTTATCCGGATTTTTCCGATTGTCTGGACGCGTTCTGTTTACGCCTATGTCTCGATTATCCGGACAGTTTGTTTACCAAGACTTATCGGTTAATGCGAACAATCTGATCAACCGGATTCGTCTTTTATTCAGATGTCTTTTTTTTAATCCGGATTCCTGTTTTATTTCATTCAAATTCTGCCATTAAACATCACTCCACTCATGTCAATGAACTGAAAATATTTTAAGTTCGATTGTCTACCTTATTCAGTTATCCGGAACTCTCGTTCATCCGAATTCCGGCTCTTCTCTCATCCACATTCCGCAAATTAAAAATCAGAACAGCAGCCTATCTCTATCATTTCTATTCTTGCACAAAATTGTAATTTAAAACTTTATAAATCTTTTTTTTTAATCCGCACTTCCCTTTAGATCGAAGTTAAAACTTATCCGGAAATTTTTCGCTATATTATCACGTATCCGGCATGTTCCAATTATGCAATCTTCCGTTATCCGTATTTATTTCGATTATGAAGACCAGTTATCCGAACATGTTTCGTTTGCATAATCTTCAGTCATCCGGACTGTTCAGTTAACCAATATATAGTCACATAATTGTAGGCGACACATAGTAATTGTTCACTTATACGGACATGCCAAGTGGCTCCGGTGTGGGTGCTTCTGATCTTTGAATATTATTGTTCCGGATTAATCATCCTACTGTGGATTAATCTTGCCCTGGATTACTCTTGCCCTGGATTACTCTTGCCCTGGATTACTCTTGCCCTGGATTACTCTTGCCCTGGATTACTCTTCCTCTGGATTACTCACTATTTTCCAATTTTTCCTGTTAAAGAAATATTAAGAACAGTTAAAAGTAATCTTCAGTCCTGTCTACACTGAATAAAATCAAAGATTCTCTCTCTCTCACACACACACACACAGACACACACACACACACACACACACACACACACACACACACACACACACACACACACACACACACACACACACACACACACACACACACACACACACACACACACACATGAGTAGTTAACAGGTGGAATGCATTAGGCAGTGATGTGGTGGAGGCTGACTCCATACACAGTTTCAAGTGTAGATATGATAGAGCCCAGTAGGCTCAGGAACGTGGACACCTGTTGATTGACGGTTGAGAGGCGGGACCAAAGAGCCAAAGCTCAACCCCCGCAAGCACAAATAGGTGAGTACTAATGGGCCTGACGGCTGAGTGGACAGCGCTTTGGTGTCGTAGTCTCAAGGGGAAACAAATGGGCAGAGTTTCTTTCACCCTTGGTGCCACTGTTCACCTAGCAGTAAATAGGTACCTGGGAGTTAGACAGCTGGCTGGCTGTTTCATGAGGGTGTGTATTCACCTAGTTGTATTCACCTAGTTGTGCTTGCGGGGGTTGAGCTCTGCTCTTTCGGCCCGCCTCTCAACTGTCAATCAACTGTTTCTACTACTACTATTTTCTTTCCACACCCCACACACACACCCCAGGAAGCAGCCCGTGAGAGCTGACTAACTCCCTATTTACTGCTAGGTAACAGGGGCATAGGGTGAAAGAAACTCTGCCCATCGTTTCTCGCCGGCGCCCGGGATCGAGCCAGGGACCACAGGATCACGTGTCCAGCGTGCTGTCCACTCGGCCGGCCGGCTCCCTGTGTGTGTGTATGTGTGTGTGTGTGTGGTGTGTGTGTGTGTGTGTGTGTGTGTGTGTGTGTGTGTATGTGTGTGTATGTGTGTGTGTGAAAAAAATAGTAGTTATAGTTGATTGACAGTTGAGGAACAGGTGAATAGACAAACACACACACACAAAAGTGTGTGAGGAACTCAATAAGAAATTCCAGGAGGTCTTTACAGTAGAGCAAGAAGTTCGAGATAGGAAAGGGAATAGGTAACCAGGCACCAGTAGAGGAGTTTATGATTACCAGTGGGCAGGTAAGGTAGCGTTAGCTAGAGTTGGATGTGGCAAAGGCTATAGGACCGGATAGAATCTTCCCATGGATACTAAAGGAAGGAGCCGAAGCACTGTGCCTGCCACTCTCCATGGTATATAACAAATCACTGGTAACTGATGAACTACCAAAAATTTGGAAGACGGCTAATATAATCCCAGTGTACAAGAAGGGAGATAGACAGGAGGCAGTGAACTACAGGCCAGTGTCCCTAACTTGCATACCATGCAAGCTGATGGAGAAGATTGTGCGAAGAAAGTGAAACATCTGGAGAGAAAGAAATTTGTAACACAGCATCAACATGGGTTCAGGGATGGCAAGTCCTGCCTCACAGGATTAATTGACTACTACGACCAGGCAACAAAAATCAGGCAAGAAAGAGAGGGGTGGGCAGACTGCATATTTTTGGATTGCCAGAAAGCCTTTGACACAGTACCACACAAAAAACTAGTGCACAAGTTGGAGATGCAATCAGGAGTGAAAGAGAAGGTAACCCATTGGATAAGGGAGTACCTAATGTCCTAACCTGGGGGGGGGGGGAATTATGAAACTTAAACCTCCAAAGAGAGCTCTGGGTGCTGCACCAGACTGTTACTTGCCGTACAGGTGGACAACGTCCCCCAACCACTCTCTGTCGGAACAGACAACCGACCCCCGGCAGCCACACTCCCGCTACCACCGGTCCACCAACAATGAACTCTGCAGTGCTTGGAAGTTTTCTTGGTTGATCACCCTGTACGCCTCTTGATCTTGGAGAGGGGTTCAGCGTCACATATCTAGGAGTGCGGCTCCAACACTGGCCTCGTTGTCCTGTGCACACACCCTACTTGAGCCGCCGTGACTCTCCACTCTCTCCTTGTTTGGAATGATCTCCTCAATCCCCCTTTTTGTAAATTAGTATTTTCTGTCACCCTGTCTGCTGCTGTGATCCTCTCTCTCTCTCTCTCTCTCTCTCTCTCTCTCTCTCTCTCCTCTCTCTCTCTCTCTCTCTCTCTCTCTCTCTCTCTCTCTCTCTCTCTTCTGCTTTCTGGGAAGCCTCACCAGAACAAGAGCAAAAGTCGGTTAACAATATACATTTAATAAGCGAAAGAACATATACAGTACACAAAATAAAAAGAATAAAACATTAGCATACAACACTAAGCTACTAAAACCTGGTAACAATCCAATATCCTATGCTGGCTTCACCAACCGTCCATCTCAAGTGGCTGCTCCACTCTTGGCTCGCCACTTACTACTCCTTCACCAAGTGGGGGTTACATCTCGTCGTAATAATATTGTACAATCAGCCCTAAAATATATACAAAATTCAGCCTATGACTAACACTAGAAACATCTACATAAATATTCCCAACACAAACAGAAATCAATGTCTCACCTTCCACTGCGCCTTACACGCCAATAAGCATTCAAGCACTCCCCTTATACATCATGTATAACCACCATGAACCTCTGTTCTGCCCCTTAGAGGCTCACTACCATGTATACCTCTTGGTTCTCCACAGTAGTCAACAAAGTTCTTCTGCAGTCCTCCTAAACTGCTACACAATGAGTTTTCTCATCAAACACCAGTGATGCTTCACCACTGATCCCACAGACACGTGAAAGTCTTCTTCACTGCTCCTTCACACAGCTTGAGGTCCACTCCTCACTATGGGGGTTCTGCTCTACCACAGAGTTCAGCCTTCACTTCTTCAGCATCGACGTTCCTTCCATTAACTTCTTCCCTGGTCTCGAAGTTCTTCCATGAACTCCTTCCCCAAAACAAGCCACAGAATTTATCTGATGCGGGGCGTTCAGTTCCCGATCCTCGACAACGGCGCTCATCGGTTGTCCACAAAATCGCTATAGGACTGCCTCACCAGGCTCCTTCTAGTACTGACTTGAGCGCTTCATGTCGTCCTCAGGCTTCACACATAAACGCCTGACTGGTTCTCTCTTCTTGACGGAGCACACAACTAGCAGTTCCTCCTTTACTGCCAGGAGCACAAACACAGTACAACCTCCTCGCACGACCTCTGCTGCTCAAGTGAGCTCAAGACAGTGAGCCTCACACCTTGTCAGCAAAATCTCAACATCTCATGTCATGTCACTTATTTACATGTTCATCCTCTGCTCATGCTTTTAAGCTATTCATTAACATTTGCCAAGTATGTAATACATATTCACATATCTACATTTCCTTTGACCTCTCAATTGGGTCTAGTAAGTCGAATAACTCTCATAGGGGTTAGACTCGTTTTTCAGGCTACCTGGGGTCATAACACTTAGCAACAGAAGACAGCGAGTCACTGTGCGGGGTGAGGTCTCAGACTGGCGAGACGTCACCTGTGGAGTCCCGCAGGGTTCAGTCCTTGGACTTATACTGTTTTTGTTATATGTAAATGATCTTCCAGAGGGAATAGACTCGTTCCTCTCATTGTTTTCTGATGATTTAAAAATTATGAAGAGGATTAAGACAGAGGAAGATAATATGAGGCTACAAGACGACCTGGACAAACTGAACGAATGGTTCAACAAGTGGCTACTAAAGTTCAACCCAAGTAAATGTAAGGTAATGAACTAGGAGGTGGAAACAGGAGGCCAGCAGAAAGATCTAGGAGTTGATATCACGCCAAAACTGTCTCCTGAAGCCCACATCAAAAGAATAACATCATCGGGGTATGCAAGGCTGGCTAACATCAGAACTGCCTTCAGAAACCTGTGTAATGAATCCTTCTGAACCTTGTATACCACATATGTAAGACCAATCTTGGAGTATGCGGCCCCAGCATGGAACCCGTACTTTGTCAAGTACAAGACGAAGCTGGAAAAAGTTCAGAGGTATGCCACTAGGCTAGTCCCAGAACTAAGAGGCATGAGTTACGAGGAAAGGCTGCGCGAAATGAACCTCACGTCGCTGGAAGACAGAAGAGTTCGGGAAGACATTATTACTACCTACAAAATTCTCAGAGGTATTGACAGGGGTAGATAAAGATAAATTGTTTAACACAGGTGGTATGCGAACAAGGGGACAAAGGTGGAAACTGAGTGTGCCACAGGGACGTTAGAAAGAACTTTTATCAATGTCAGAGTAGTTAAGAGATGGAATGCATTAGGCAGTGATGTGGTAGATCCTGACTCCATACACAGTTTTAAATGTAGATTTGATAGAGCCCAGTAGGCTCAGGAATTTGTACACCAGTTGATTGACAGTCGAGAGGTGGGACCAAAGAGCCAGAGCTCAACCCCCGCAAGAACAACTAGGCGAGTACACACATGAGCACACACATAATCACACACACACACACACGCCCACACATATGTAACAACCCTCATTTGCAGAATTGTTTAAAAAAGAGCCCTGAAGCTAGGTCTGCAGTTAGGAAAGTTGCCATGGAAGCAGCTTCTTCTCAAGAAGCAGCAAGATGTACAAGCCAGCTGATAGAGCGATAAAAAGCAGCATTAATAGTAGGCATTAGGGAGCAAACAGGGACCAGTTCAGTGGAAAGGAGAGACAAGGACAAAAATGAAGTTAATGAGATCCTTAAAGGGGGTAAAGATGGAGACGACTGACCAAAATATTAAAAAGGTTTTCAGGATTGGACGGTACAACAAGGACAGACACCGAGTGATAAAGGTGGTATTCACGAGCGAGAGAACAAAAGAGGACTTGTTAGCAAGAAAGAGCGGACTAGCAAATGAACAGAAGTTCAAAACAGTATTCCTGCAAAGGAATATAACAAAGTATGAGAGAATGAGGGCAGCAGTCGCGAGGAGGAAGCGCAGGGAGAGAGAAAGGAAACCGGGAGCCACAACCCCGAGCCCTATAATCCCAGAGGGGAGCGGGGAACCCTTCACAAGCAGCTCAACAGCCACAGTGAGAGAAGCACCTACCCCCA